AGTGATGTTACATGTTGGGGCAACCACAGCATAACAGTGTTCCTCTCACTAAATAATGTAATTACTGGTAATACTATTACAGTTTGGTGTAGGAAGTACTCTCTGCTTGTTATTTCCAACAATGAGAGGTTGGTAGGCCATTTCTGGTGTTTTTTTAAACTTTCTTTTAATTTAAAAATCAAAATCAATTTTCATAGTAACACATTACTGACACATTATTCACAGATAACAAGTAAATGGTTGAAATCCTGTTTGTGCAACTAAGTCAGTATAAGGGTAATGATGTCATCAGCAGGGGTACTTTTTACAGAAATGAAACACTTCCTATTTCTGTCCCATGGCTCCCAAAGTTTCCATGTAATCCCTTTCATTGTTTGGAAGTGTCGTTATTGGTGTGTGTTGGTGGTAATGTCATCCCAGTGGTGGTAATTTTTCAGTATAAAGACTTCCTCCTCTTGTCCTGCAGATCCCAAATGATGAAATGGAGCCACAGAGCCTTTATGTGGGCATAGTAGCTTGAACAGGATTTCAGCCAAAGAACTATTACAGTAGTATTTTTAACCCAGTAAAATTCTTAAAATGCCATTCCCAGGTCTGGGCAATGATGACGGCAACTTCCTGAAGATGCTGATCCCTACTGTCAGCCTTGACAGATGAGAAGCAAAAATTAGAGAGCAATGGCCTATATCACAGAACTCTGGAGTGGAAAGAGTAAAGCAGTTGCATTCTGGCGGAAGCAGCAGTTGGCGAGGGTGTGAATAAGCATGACGCCTCATGAAAAAGTAAGTCCTGCACAGAAGACATTAGGACCTGAATCCAACCTGAGTTAGATCTTGCCATTCTGTGGTTATCTAGCCTATTTCTGACTTATTTTATTCCATTTAATCTACAATCTGAAATACTTTGGGGTATTTCTTATACAAGCACCAACATTTATTAATAGAATGCTTAATAAGATTTTAAGTCGTGTTTTTTTCTTAAATGGATTGTTGTGCTCTGTTGTTTTTAAATGTGTTTTTAGTATTGACTTTACTGAACATTTTTAATATAATACTTGTGTGTTGTAAGCTGTCTTGGGTTCTTTTAAGGATGGAAGGGCAAACAAACAAGTTTGAACAACCAAAAACAGAAGGAATATCTGCATTACCAAAGTGGAACAATGAAGACATGTCTATCTGCCAGCAACAGACAACTGAAATCGATCATTCCTGAGTTTTGATAGAATTCCATTTTTGGTATAACCTAACTGCATTTTATCCCCAAGTTGAAATACAAAATCTTATTGCCGTCAGTAATCTATGAACAGAGATGATTCAAGCAAATTTTCTCCCACAGTATCTCCTTCTCATGCACGTAAAAACCTTTAAAGTTTTGTTTGAGAACAATAGAGAAAGACACTCAGCATCAACATACACGTATACATAAAGTAGTGTAGAGTATCTCTGGCTCTTTCAGATTGCAACTTGCTGGACGTGAAATGTACAAATATAGAACAATTGTCCATAGTGGCAGTCCAAATATAGAAATATAATTTTCATGGCATATATTTGGCATAGAATTTTGCAAAGATGTGACTGGCATTATAATATCATCTTTTGTATTACTTTTGTTGTTTAATCATTAAGTCATGTCCAACTCTTTGTGACCCCATGGAACAGAGCACGCCAGGCCCTCCTGTCTTCCACTGCCTCCCGGAGTCTGGTCAAATTCATGTTGGTCGCTTCGATGACACTGTCCAACCATCTCGTATTACTACCACTATGCAAATCCCACCCCAAAGGGGGGGGGGAATCTCTGTTTTATTTTAAGTTTAGTGATGACACGTACATGTTAACCTTAAGTCACTTTTAAACTTGTTGCTGATAACATCCTGCTCCTGAGGATGTTACTAACCCTGGACAGTATATTGATCTTCTCTCAGCTCCTCTAAAGCCAAAGATCAAGATTAAAAGAGCTACAGCTTAGACTCTAAGGTCTAATTCAAATTAAAATCAGATTATACTCAAATTCAAATCACATTTTATTAAAATACCCTGGAAATGGTATTCTCAGTGGGAACAGGAATCTTGTAGCTCTTGGGGAAAAAACAGAGGGGAAAATAAATATATATTTCCCCTCCCAACACTGTGATGTGTGGGGTTTTTCTCCTTGAAAATGTTTGTAGAAAATGTCATGGGTTTGCTTGAAAAATTTCACTGTCATACTTTCTGGAAGTAATGCCAAACTGAAGGGGGTTTGCTACAATTTTTGTGCAGAATGGTCTCTCTTTGGAAAGGGCAAAGAAGCACCAAGCTGCCCAAAATTGCTGCAATCCCTATACAACATGTCATCTTTCTCACAATGGATACACTCAAAAGGGTATGAAGCTGCACAGAATATGGCAGTTTCCGGTGCAGAACAACAGGTGGAAAACAAAGCAAAGGGAAAATGGGATTGGAGTCTTGTTCTCACAGGAACCTGGGAAATCTTGCTGATGACTCATAGAATCTTAGAATAATTGACTTGGAAGGGACCTATAAGGCCATCAAGTCCAACCCCCAACTCAATGAGGAAGCCTCCACATGACTCAATGAGGAAGCCTCCACATGACTCAGTGAGGAAGCCTCCAGATGGCAAAACCTGGAAAATCACAAGGAATTAAAAATTTTGGGAGTAAATTCACTAGCTCCCCACAACATTTCTGATGTTTGCCAGCAACAGTATAAGTGCATCAATGGAATACAACTCCATATTAAACAATCCTTCTCATAAACACCAAATTACAAGTTCCTCAATACAGTATAAGGAACACGAAATTACAAGTTCCTTAACTTGTAATTAAAAGCACCAGATTACAGGTTCCTTGAATCTAACTGCATCATTCTTGAGGTGAAAATATGATGGCAAGACTGTTTATATAACTCAGTAAGCTTGTGTATCCCTCTTCAATCCAATAAGATCTTTAACTCCCAGTACAGAGTTATCTACCTTAATCTGTTTAGCTATGCTTTTCTTAGCTTCATAGCACTCTACCTCTTAAGTTCATGGCACTGATCAGACCGAGTAGCAGCATTAAAATGCATCCTTCTACAGGATTTGGATGAACCAACTAGAGATGTTTTGAGATTATCAGCTAAGATATTCAAAGATGGACTTTCAGAGTTATTGTAACAGTGTAACAGCACTGGGCCACAACACTAGGTACAATCTTTGCCAGTACGCCATCTCATCAAAGAAATGATTTTGTTCAACTTCATGGTCAGTAATTCCTACCATAACTGATTTTATTTCTTCATGGCTACCCTGTTTCCTCGAAAATAAGTCCTAACCTGAATATAAGCCCTAGTCTGATTTTTCAGGATACTGGTAATATAAGCCCTACCCCAAAAATAAGCCCCAGTTAAGTGAAACCCTGCCTTCCACCCTTACGCAGCAACCAGAAGATGTGATTGCATTTGAATAAATGTAGATTGTTGTACATGAAAAAAAATAAAACATCCCCTGAAAATAAGCCCTAATGCGTTTTTGGAGCAAAAATTAATATAAGACCCTGTCTTAATTTCGGAGAAATACGGTAGAAAATTGAACAAAATTCTAGACTGTAGCAATGAAAAGGAAGCATTTGGAAAGAAGGAAAACTTTCCATTCTACAAAATGGGACATAAAAACAGGGTCCTGCACTCATTCCTTAAGCAAAACGGTGTGCTGAAAACAAATTTAAATCACCACAATTTTTTGTTAGTCATTCAACAATTTAATGATTTTTGGACTGAATCTGGAAAGCGACCTTCATGAAATGTAGGGGGACTTGTGCTACAGACTTGTCGAGTTGCAAGGGAACAAGACAAATGAGAAAAATACAAACACAACACAGCCTCGTCAGCATATAAAACAGCCTGAAACCTGAGGTGAATTCTAATGTAATAAGAATACATTTATGCTCTGATCACATGATCTACCAACAGAGCAGTATTTTACAGACCGTACCACTGTGTGACTACGTTGAATGCTGTCCCACATAAAGAAAAGTACTGCATGGAAGAAATGAATAAAGCAGTCCCCTAGAATGCATTCTGCATTGTTCTTTTGCAACAAGAGCATAATAAAGTTATTCTTCATATACATGAGCAAAAAATCTTTAGCTTCATGAATTAACGTTTTCTGGTTTCTTTTTATTTACTTTATAAGGGGTATATTTAAAGGACACATTTTTAGAGGCATTTTCTGGGTGATGTTTTATACCATGCAAGGGTCCCACTACGCACACAAATGATGAAGAAGCAATAAAAAAGGAACATGTAACATAGCCCCCTTTTCTTTCAGTGTTAATAGGAACAATTCATTTCGTGTGATTTTTGTAAAGAAAACAATGTCACTATGCCTAATAATTATTTCACAAAATGTAGCGTGCAATAAATAAATAAATAAATAAATAAATAAATAAATAAATAAATAAATAAATAAATAAATAAATAAATAAATAAATAAATAAATAAATAGGGATATAAATAAATAAATATTTTAAAAGAGGATGCAATAATAGAATGCTTAAAATCTACAGCTAAACAGTTCACAAAATGAAGTTCAGAGGTGAAATATATTTCTTAGATACTCTATTATATCGGGTGAGAAAGTGTTTCCAAAGAGGTGGTCATCCATCAGCTCATCACTGGCAATTCAAGAATTCCTCTCTGGTGTTCTTATTTATTTTATTTATAGTTCATCCTTTGTTTTTTTGGGGGGGGAATTCCTTCAGATTCACCATTGAGGGGGAAAAGAAGAAATAAGCAGTTAAGGCTGAGCAGCAGCATGTTGGGCAGGAGTCAAAAGGCTAGTTTAATTTAATGTATTCGCGAAGGCTTTCACGGCCGGGATCTGATGGTTGTTGAGGGTTTTCCTGGCTCTTTGGCCGTGTTCTGAAGGTTGTTCTTCCTGACGTTTCACCAGTCTCTGTGGCCGGCATCTTCAGAGGACTGGAGTAGGAACTCTGTCCATGGCAGAACACGGCCAAAGAGCCCAAAAAACCCACAACAACCACTAGTTCAATTTATTTATTACTAGTGCAAGGTCAGAAGCCATTACTCAGTGCCTTGACCCCAATGGTGTCATTAAGACACAAATTTTCACTATTATGGCAAAATAGTTAAAAGGCATGATGGCAAAATATGGGTGCTATTTTAAAAGGGGTCATCAAAGAATGTGGCTTTCTTCTTCAGCAGTAATGCAATTCAATATTAAAAATTTACAATATCAAGAAATTTCTAGCAGCAGTTGACTGACAGACTTTCCTTCTGAGGGCAAAATGCTTTCTAGAGTCAATAGAGCAGTGGTTCTCAACCTTGGGTCACCCAGGTGTTCTTGGCCTGCAGTTCCCAGAAATCTTCACCACCAGCTGTACCAGCTGAGGTTTCTGGGAATTGCAGTCCAAGAATACTGCAGAAAAGAATTCTATCGAGGAAGACAAGACTGGATGACAAGACAACAACACCTGTAAATGCTTTGATGAACAGGTAAAACAGACGAATTGTTGCCGTCCCATGTCTGATCTCGCTTGTTCAAGTGTGGATCGCCCAAGATAAAAACTGTGGTGACAGGATTCTGCCAATGCAGTAACAGTACAAATCATATGCCCTTGTTTTCTTAGGGGGCAGCCAAAATTAGTCAGTAATTCCTACTACTCCCCCACACCACAGGGGCTTACTCAAAGCTTTTAGGCATGTCTTAAAAGCAAAGGTTAGCAAACATTACAAGTCTCTGGAGAGCCAATCTTGGCCTGAGGTTCAAATGCCAAATCTTCCTGAGGGAAGGAAAACTCAGTTTATGGATTCGCATGACACCATTGTTTGATGGTTTTGTGGCTTTTGGATAGTTATTTTCCCCTTCTAAAAGACCCAAATGCTTCTGTAAAGCGCAAGGCTCTTCCAGACAAAGTAAAAGTTCTACTCTTTCTCCCAGAAAGTTTCAGAGGCGTAGAGGCAACAATAGGATTTGCATCCAAATTGTATTTTGTAAAGCCCCATTACTAAAAACTGCGTCTCTTCAAGAAATCCTTCAAAACTATGTAAAAATATGTCAAGAGAAACCGGAGCTTCTTTTCTGGAATGTCTGAAGATTTATTCATTTAGTATTTTTATGCTAATCGGAAACTTCCAACTAGAATCCTCTAACCATGAAAATGAACCCCATGGGAAATGCCATAGTGCTAAATGCCTCCCTTTAAAAAAATGTCTTCAGGAGGGGCAAAAAAGCAGCAAAAGTAATGGAAAATATGGTAGCACTCAACTGAGACAAGGGGAACATCATATGGATGGATGGAAAAAAATCCAATAATATTAATACAGAATCAGGACAATAAAAATAATAAATGTTCCGTCTGAGGGAAAACACCGTCAGTAAGGTATTTAAGTTGAAATACTTTGGCATTTGGGATCCTGCACTTTTGCCTTCAGCTACATCTGCCACTGAAATGCAGCCTTTCGCCCAAAAATGTCTGTGAAACTGAATTTGGCATCCAGAGAGAAAAATATTTCTCACTTTCCCCCAAAAAATACCCTTTTCCCCAAAACACCTTCTCTCTCTCACTCACTCAGTCTCTCTCAAATTCAGATATAGAATTCTTCTTCATCTGCTCTTCCACCACCAGTGGTTCTGCTGTCATCGAGAGAGAAGGCTGTCCTTCTTGGTAAATGTCTGCTCCCAAAGAGAACTGCTGAAGGAGAAGCTGATGGTGATGTGGAAGAACTAGAAGACCAATCAAACAGAAAAGGAAGGCAGCTGGATGATAACTGAAGGGGGTGATACTTGGCCGAAGAGCATCTTCCTCTAGAAATGGTCTGCTTAAATCTGTTGACACTTTGATTTGGAACGGGACAGGTTGTCTTTACTTCTGTTTCCTTACCGAAAACATCAGGAGCTGAGTAAGCAGAGACCACAGATAAATCGGAGAAAGCAAGTTTCATCCCTGTGTCCACATCAGTCTCCTGAACCCCTTCCAGGTCATCAATGTTAACTCGGGCTCTTGTCCTGCCTGAGGAAAAGAAAGTGCTTAATGAGTTTGGGTCGCTAAAATGAAAAAACTTTGAAGTCAAGGAAGAGCTTGTGGTAGGCAAACAAGCCAGAGATTTGCTTCGCTGAAAGGAACCGGAGCTGGTAGAAGCCGTGCTAGATCTTCTGGGAAAGCGTTCTCGGCCACAGTTTCTCAGGTCGTGCTGGGAAACAACAAGGCATGGATTGGCATGGGGGAATGCAAGAGAACCAGCTGGTCTGGAAGGATCCGTCCTTTTGTGAAGAGCCCATCGGGTGCTGTAAGAAGGGACAAAACGTGGGACAGGAGTGCTCCTTGGTGGGGACAAGTGGCAACATGTGTTCTGTTTAGCATACTTCTTATACCGGACCTGTGACGGAGGAGAGAGACGAAAAGACACCACGTGAGTGAATACCTGTTTTCAGTGCTGGATTTCTTTGACATGTAAATTGGTGCTGAATGCATTAACAAGTAATACAGAAGACGAGGCCTCATGCAACTGCATTCATGTAAAGATATTAATACACGAAGCATTTAAGGCTACCACTGAAGGCTTGGGAATTCAGCAACATCAGAAACCCTGTTCAGGCATTTATGGAAAGGTTAACTCAAAGTATGAGTTGAGAGACAGAGAGCTAGCACTCCCACACTGCCCACTGCTCTCCTTACCTGAAGGAGTACGGTCTGAAAAGGAAACAGCCTGCTAGTCATGGAGCTTCTTCATGGGAATGAAGAGGAGACAATGATAGGCAATGACTCTCCCTGCTCACACCTTCAAATTAATCCCTCTCTGAATAACGGAATAGGGCTAAAGCATAACAAGCCTATACAGCTACGGAGGATCCTTCTCTAACTGCCCACTTCTGTAGATAAGCTCAGAACTTAGAACTTTTTAAAAGTAATTTTGTTACAGCGATACTTCCAAGGATCCGTTCTCTAAAGAGCTTAGCTAAAAATACTTACTTTTTACTTTTTAATTCCTAAACATTAACTAGTTATTTTTTAAAAAAATATATCTGAATGTTACAAGCCATTGGTCTGTGGTTCAGCACATACTCCTACCTGTCTTGTTGTCACCTAAACGCCCCCAAACACAAAAGCAAGAAGCACAATCAAGAAGCACAATTAAGCCAGCACTTCAATCGTGGGATATCCTTCTCACCATATTATGACCTTATGCTCCAAGAAGTATAAAAGAAGTTATAGTTACACCATAAAAGTGAAGTTATTTCTTGTCAAGATACAACTCTAATGATATTTTTTATGCATTTATTCATTCATTCATTTCCATTTCTATATCACTCCATTAGTATTGCCACTCTCTGGGCAGTTTACAATATGCAATAAAAACATAACAACACAATAAAACAAATACAAAAAAAAACACAGCTAAACCTGTCACTAACTGAAACTACTTTTAAATAAAAATATACAAATTAAAACATATTTTAATGACTCAGGAAAATATTTACACTGATAGAGAGCAACTTTATATAATTTGGTCTTAATTAGCTTCCTAAAATCAGAGAGGGATGGTTCCCGGCAAACCTCTATAGGAAGCTTGCTCCAGACGAAAGGGGCCACAACCAACATACCCTCCAATTTTCAGCCCCTCTAGGCAGGGCTCTGCCTCTCGCACACGTGGCTTCGCCCCTGCATGCACGTGTGACTCCGCCCCTCCCGTGCACTGTGTCCCATAGGAGAAGGAAGACAGCTGCGCAGAGGGAAGTGGAGTCATGTGCACATGTGGGCCCATCTTAGCAAGGACCTTGGCCACAACCAAGAAAGCTCAGTTCCTTACGCTGGCCTTCTTTAGTTGTCACAATTCTTAACATCAAGGACTGCGAAGAGCGTGCAGGATAGGTAGCTATTTTTGGAGAGAGATGTTCTGCCAAATATCAAGGTCCTAAACTGTTAAGAATTTTATAGATCATGACCAGCATCTTAAATTGAACACAAAAACTACAAGGAAGTCAATGAAGGTATGCCAAAATTGGGGATATGTGTTCATATCTGCTGGTACATGTAAGCAGTCTGACTGCTGCATTTTGGACCTGCTGAAGTTTCTGTACTGACTTCAAAGGCACCCCTATGTAGACAGTGTTACAGTGGTCTATTCTGGAGATTACCAACACATGGACCACTGTTGTTAGGCATTTCCTATCCATGTAGGGGTGCAGCTGGGCAACCAACCAAAGTTGATAAAAGGCATTCTTAGCCACAGCAGATATTTGCCCCTCCATAGAGAGAGTTGGAGCCAAGAGTATCCCAGAGGGAGTGTAACTCGATCGAGGCCACGTAAGTATCCCTCTAACTCAGAGGTCCCCAACCCCCCTGATCCACAGCCCAGTGCCGGTCCATGGCCTGAGACCTCCCAACCCCCGCACATACTCACCCCTGCACAGCCTGTTTGTGCCTGCATGCGAATGCTGCGCCGCCCTTTGCGCATGCACACAAGCGCGCACACGCACCTTTGCACATGCACATGAGCGCAGAAATTCAGCAACATCAGAAACCCTGTTCAGGCATTCATGGAAAGGTTAACTCAAAGTATGAGTTGAGAGACAGAGAGCTAGCACTCCCACACTGCCCACTGCTCTCCTTACCTGAAGGAGTACGGTCTGAAAAGGAAACAGCCTGCTAGTCATGGAGCTTCTTCATGGGAATGAAGAGGAGACAATGATAGGCAATGACTCTCCCTGCTCACACCTTCAAATTAATCCCTCTCTGAATAACGGAATAGGGCTAAAGCATAACAAGCCTATACAGCTACGGAGGATCCTTCTCTAACTGCCCACTTCTGTAGATAAGCTCAGAACTTAGAACTTTTTAAAAGTAATTTTGTTACAGCGATACTTCCAAGGATCCGTTCTCTAAAGAGCTTAGCTAAAAATACTTACTTTTTACTTTTTAATTCCTAAACATTAACTAGTTATTTTTTAAAAAAATATATCTGAATGTTACAAGCCATTGGTCTGTGGTTCAGCACATACTCCTACCTGTCTTGTTGTCACCTAAACGCCCCCAAACACAAAAGCAAGAAGCACAATCAAGAAGCACAATTAAGCCAGCACTTCAATCGTGGGATATCCTTCTCACCATATTATGACCTTATGCTCCAAGAAGTATAAAAGAAGTTATAGTTACACCATAAAAGTGAAGTTATTTCTTGTCAAGATACAACTCTAATGATATTTTTTATGCATTTATTAATTCATTCATTTCCATTTCTATATCACTCCATTAGTATTGCCACTCTCTGGGCAGTTTACAATATGCAATAAAAACATAACAACACAATAAAACAAATACAAAAAAAAACACAGCTAAACCTGTCACTAACTGAAACTACTTTTAAATAAAAATATACAAATTAAAACATATTTTAATGACTCAGGACAATATTTACACTGATAGAGGGCAACTTTATATAATTTGGTCTTAATTAGCTTCCTAAAAACAGAGAGGGATGGTTCCCGGCAAACCTCTATAGGAAGCTTGCTCCAGACGAAAGGGGCCACAACCAACATACCCTCCAATTTTCAGCCCCTCTAGGCAGGGCTCTGCCTCTCGCACACGTGGCTTCGCCCCTGCATGCACGTGTGACTCTGCCCCTCCCGTGCACTGCGTTCCGTAGGAGAAGGAAGACAGCTGCGCGGAAGGAAGTGGAGTCATGTGCACACGTGGGCCCATCTTAGCAAGGACCTTCCTATTTATTTATTTTTTGGGGGTATTTTTTCTTCTGGAATGGATTAATCGAGTTTCAATGCATTTCAATGGGAAATGGTGCTTCGACTTATGACCATTTCGAGTTACGTCCATCTTCTGGGACGGATTATGGTCGTAAATCGTGGCACCACTATATTGGGAAGAAGCCTTCAAAAGTGGAAGAATGATCAGTTCTAGATCTGTAATCCGGCAGGTATTCCATATTACTCTGGCTCTCTGATTTAAACTCACACAAATGGAGCTTCAATGCTAGGCAAAGACACCTATCAGAAAATCCTGCTGATCTTTACAGGACTTAGTTCTCTGCAGACTTGCATTAGATTACTCTACATAATCAGAATTTGCAGTCAACAAGAGATTCATACTTTCTGCTACATAAAACCCTAAGATTCCCTTCTTCCCAAATACTATTTTGGCAACCATTTGTGAATTTGACAACTCTGTGCACATTAGTAAATCATTTCTGTAGGGAAAGAAATATTCCAGCTGATTTAGGGGAAATGATCATGGTGGTGCTGCTTCCCCCCCTCCTTTTATATTCTTGGTTTCTGCAGAGCCATCAGCACTGACAGATCACAGTTTGTTTTCTGTATAATAGGTCAGAAACAAAGGGTACAAATGGCACTCCTAGACTGGGCTCAGCTGTTTGGGATGACAAAAGCACTGTGTACAAACTGATACTCTTGTCTAAACGAGGCCACAAAAAGAGTGGCTCCTATTTTAAATTGAGCTGTGCGGTTTTTGACAAACAGCACCAATCCTGAAGGATCAAAATGTCCTTGCTGATGTAATATTGTGCCAGTTTCCCAAATTTCACATCACTATCTCATAAGAGTTAGAATAAAAGTACACTATATTGTTCGTTCATGGTGCTCCAAATCTTCTATCTGAAGTAGCTGCTCTTCTGCGCCCAACGACAGGATCGGCCCTGCATACAAAAGTGCAGCTGTATATTGTATGGAAAAGAAGCAGTGATTTATTATGGGTTGTACTTTTTCAAGCTTATATAGAGGATGCTGGATAAATCTCTAGGCTGCACATGAACGATGGGTATGTCCAAAAACATACAAAAAATTCCTCTGTTGTTGATGTGCAAAGTCCAGGGAAAACCAGAAATAATCGGTAAGGAAGCCTTCAAAGATGTTCGTCTACAGAGACAAAGGTGTATACTCTAGGAGCTCAAAAAAGAAAAAAAATGAGAAATACAGGAAGCCATTTTAGAGGTCACTTACAAAATACATTCTACTTCAGAATTATGTCTGAAATACTTTTGAAGTGTTTCATTAAAATAATTATATTCTTGTAATTTTAATCCTTAGATCCAAGATTCATAGGTGCAAAAAAATTATTGTTTTTCAATTGACTTGAATAGAAAACTAGTTAAATTCTTAGGACAACAGTGGCAAAATCCTTTCAAATTATGTAAAATATGGAATATGTTTGGTATTTGGTCTAGGAATACAATCTGCAAATTTATCAGGCTCCAAGGTAGCTCTTTCTTGCTTGTTAGACATTCAGCTGTAGGGATCAAGATAACTAATAGCATGCTTAGCTAATTTGTTCTGTGTGGGACAAGTGATTCTGGTTTATTTCGACCTAAGCTTTGGATAATAGGAGCACAGTTGTTTGGCGGGCCCTGTTCACAAAGAAAGAAGGCAAAGTCAACTATATCAAAGACTGGATTCATTTTTTCACTTCTACTTTAAGCTGTCTATTAACAACTGGTTAATAACTATGTTAAGAGCAGGGCAGTAATCTAACTGGGGAGCAGGAATACTTATCTCTTTTAAATATGATTTAAAAAAAAACAGAAATGTCTGGAGGATGTATCTTATTAGACTATGTAATGGCTGACATAGTTTCACATCCCAACGATACAAGAAAGAGGTCTTCAAATGAGAGTTGCAGCAAGTCTCTATGGGGATAATCATGACCGCCGTATCATCTCAAAAGGGCGAGTAAACCACTGCAGGATGAGTATTTTACAAGCGGACTTTGGCTTACGTAGCAGGATTTTCCCATGCCTTCCCCTCCCAATCCTCCTCAAATCTTCTCCAGAACTTCCCCACAAAATTCTAGAACAGATTTTTGAGGTTCACAAATGGGAATATTAAATGGGAAAATGGGATTTTTTTTTTAAAAAAAGAGAGCTGCTAGAGAGCTTCTGTCTTACTGACAAACAATACAGAATATAACTACTCATTCTGTAAGGTGTAGATCAGTGGTTCTTAACCTTTGTTACTCGGATGTTTTTGAACTGCAACTCCCAGAAACCCCAGCCAGCACAGTTGGTGGTGAAGGCTTCTGGGAGTTGCAGTCCAAAACTCATGAGTAACCCAAGGTTAAGAACCAGTGGTGTAGATCACAAGAAAACTTTTTTTTTTCATTGTGGCATCAAGTCAACTCCAACTTGTGGCAACCCTTGCCAGGTTTTCCTGTGTATAAAGTACTCAGAAGTGGTCTGTTACTGTATTCCCTTCTTCCAGGGGCATTTTGAGACTGAGCAGCTTGCCCAGGGCCACATAGGTTGGCTCTTCTCCTGGGAGGAACAGTGATGACTCAAATTCCCTACCCCTAGCTCTGCAAGAGATACTTCAACTCACTCAGCTACTATGGTTAAATAAACCTGGCTCACATGCAAGCAGTGATTTAACCTGTACCACTGACATAATTTCTAAATTAGTTTGCTGATTTTTTTTAAATGTTGTGGTATTTTATCAGGGATTAAGAATTAAGTTTATAGTTTTTGAAAAACGTATCACATGTTTTTGTACCCATTGGTCCTGAGAAAGGATCACAGTTATACACAAGGCTGCAGACTTGTTTAAAAAGCTATGTAAAAATCAGGGCACAAACAGACGAGACTGTATATTTGCAATTAGAAACAGACCTAGCTTAAAAAATAAAGGACATCTTATTATTCTCCAAAGTTGCTTCAAAGCCTTGAGAATTGCACATTAGCCTGCTTTTGTTTGCTGATTGCGCACTGAGAAGTAAACAACACTTGTTTCCTCTATGTGCAAACAAAACAACTGTCCCATAACATAGATAACATTGATCACTTTCTCCTTACAAGGCTACGAGAGTTCTCAAGAGCTACCAAGGCTATCTTGTCTGCTTCAGCCCAGAGTTGGCGAGAAGAAGGATGCCTTTCTCCCAGATAGCCTCAATACATTTTCTAAACAAGTAATTACTTAAAACCAGACAAAAGCTCATGTTTTCACAGTTATGCGTAATCCAGCCAATTCTACACATGTGACTGTTTTTACAGCATTTCTCTGCACTTCCTTCATGGTGAGGAATTTATCTGGTCTTCTCTTCCTTTCCAATTCACTCCAATTCATGAGACATGAAAAGCAAAAATGAGTCTTGGATAAACCCTTCATAAGAATGTCATCTGTCCCAGTAGGGAAACTGATGTTCTCTCTTGGGTTTTGTAAAATCTCAGGATCTCTGTTTACCAAGATAGTTTTAATACCCCATAGAGACTGTGAAGGCAGTAAAGGACAATGTTTTCTGACCTTCTGATTTGCAACACATGGAGATACAGATATATTAGCAAATACCTGCAGAAGGAGCTTATTGCCATCTAGATCTTCCGTTTGCCATCTGCCTTCGCTGATGGGGCTGCAAGGATTGGGCAAAAGTGGCACAAGTTGCTGGATGTCTTTCACCCGGAACTCCAGCACTGCCGACTCTGTAGGCCTCGGCACATGGCCTCGTGGGAGCCTTTTTAAAGAGAACTGAATATCTAGGTCCACATTGGAATAGACGGGAAACACACAGAAATCTGCCTTCTGCTGATGAGCTCGCCTTTTCAAAATCAACTCATAGAACCTCACAGTGCCGGCAAAGTTTTCATGCCTGCAGTAGATGGTGAAGCGTACGATTTCCTTGCCATAATGCACCGGCCGGATGGCCCACAAAGGCGTCCCTGGGGTCAAGATGAAGAAATCCTGGCTGCCTGGCATGTAAGGGAGGACGTTGCCATGCACACGCTCGGTGTGGTGGTAGTGCCAGGGTGGCCTTTGAAATGATTCATGGAGCTGCAGGATGGGCTCTTCGTCATAGTCTTCTTGAAGGAAGAGAATGACAGCTAGGGCTGGCTGGGACGTGATACCCCGGCCACTCTTCTGTGGCCTCCTCGGCACCCGCCTCTCTGAAACTCGGAAAAGCTGGAGGTCTGGGTGGATCCATGCCAACAGGTGATCAATGGCTTGCTGGAGAACAGCGGATTCTCCTGGATTTGCGATGATGTGTACGCTAACAAGAAAAGGATCTGGTACGTCCTCCGCAGAAAATTCACCTGGACAAAGGAGGGAGAACCAGCAGAAAATTGTTTTTAAAAATGTTATTTCTGGTCTTTTGCAATTTTGTTGCAGGGAAAAATACAACATATAGTTCAGAAAAGAACATAAATCAGTACCATGCCATCTGTGAAAAACCAAAATCTTTAAAAAGAGAGCTCGGTCCCTGTCTGCCACTATAAATGTTTATAGCCTAGTATAGAGGTTCTCAACTGGATGTCCCTGGGTGGACTATGACTATGAACATTTACAACCAGCATTGCCAATAGTAAGGGACTCTGGAAGCTGTAGTCCAGTACCAACATTGGAGGGTCCAAGGTAAGAAATCATTAGACTAAGGAATCCATATGTGTCAAGTGTAATTAAATTGTTTCTGGTCGATGTTGAGGTCCTTTACGGTCTCCATTATGTGTCAAGTGTAATTAAATTGTTTCTGGTCAATGTTGAGGTCCATTACGGCCTACTTCTACCTTTATGATTGTTTTTCTTAGTTAGTTTACATGACTACATATGTCAGGTTGCATAAAGGATGAAAACAGAACATTGTTGTAATTCCAATATTTTAAAGAAAAAAATAACAATTCAGTCACCGTCCAATTCCTGATTCTTTGATGTTCCCATGCAGATTATTTATTTGTTACTTGCTGAGTAAGTTGGAAGAACAAAGGATCTCACCCCACTTTTAGCATAGAATGCACACAGACATTTAGGACAGCAAGAGAGAAAACCATGCAATTGCTTACATACCAGTATTTCTGGTATGTAAAATTGTCTTTATACGTATATTTTTTGTATTATCTTTTAATGTTGTTAGCCGCCTAGAGTGGTCCTGACACGACCAGATAGGCAGGATATTAAATAAATAAATAAATAAATAAATAAATAAATAAATAAATAAATAATGTTGAACATAAATATATGTTTTAAAACCCCACCATCTTGAATGTGGTCTTGGTATGTTTAACCTTGTGATGATTTACAATGTCAAATTGCACACCACTGCAGTGATGTGTTTGTGTCCCTTACTTTCTGTGTGCTTATGCTTCCCCTTGCCAACTTCCCTCTCTGGATGTGGCATGAAACTTTGTCCTAACAGACTGAAATTTCTTGCAGCTGCATGCAAGATACATAAAGATTTATTGAGTAACGATTTTAAGCTATAATTTTCCTTTGTCTCTTTTTTCCTTTGTATTAGTGTTGTAACTGTCTTCTAAATTCAATCTGTATGATGTTCGATGTCTTTTGCTGGTCATGGACTGTAATAATAATGAACCCAAACTGAACTGAGTGGGGTGTGCCAACCATAGGTCTCTTGACTACAATGTCATGTGAGTGATGGAATTGTGTCCCTCTTTTCTTTCTTCCCCTCCAGATGCCACCCTCCAGAACGGTGGCTGTGAGAAGCACAAAGGGATTTGAACCCCTGCCTCCAGGAGAATTCTGGACATCAACATTTGGAATGCCAGGCAAAGTGATTCCTAGCTGTGCCACTGGAGCTGAAGGGACTGGATACCATCTTGCGTGCTGTGTGCCTTTTGTGATGCCAAGTGCTCGGAGAAGTTTATCTGCTGGACCACCATTTCCAGAATCCATTCCTCAGCCAGCATGACCACTGGCTGTGCTAGCTGTGGGATTTTAGGAATTGCCATCTAAAGAGGTGACTTCTGGCAATGCTGGGAGATATGCTGAGAGCTCGTCCATCATTGTGAGTCCAGTAGCTCCCTCCAAATGCAGTTGGATGTTATCTCTGACACAACTCCCTGCTTTGCTGGACACTGGTTGTTTCCAGGGATGCTAAAGGCATGCCTGTCTTGCAACACCCTAATGTGTAAGCTTCTACTTGTGTGTTTTCTTCTCCTTGGCAGGACATCAGCTCTTCTAGCACTGAAAGAGGGTAAGTGCGGGGTTCGTCTCTTAGAGAAAATGAATTGCTTGTGTGCAATTGAAGGAAGCATTTCTTTCAGTTTCTCTTCAAATAAAAGGAGTTGGGTGGGTGGGGGAACGTCAGTCGCTGCTTCTAAAGCTGGCTCAGTTCCACCTGCTTTCTGGCAAACTGCTGCCAAAGGAAAGCCAAGAGCCTGCAGTTGGATCAGGCTCCTTGGAGTGAGGGCTAATCCTGTGGGAAGTGCCACAATACTGACCTGCCTCTTTCAAAGCCCACTGCGCCATTCCTGATGCCTTTCATTCTGCTCCTCCAGAGTCTGTATTTGTATAACAAAAGCAGCTTTCAAAAAGGCAATATGACTGAAGCACTGGAAAATGCGGAAGCATAGCTTTGGATAGCATGAGGACCCCTCCCTGGAGGGAACTTCTTGCATGTGGAGATTGTTGCTGTGCAAGAAAGCACCTGCAGGAGAGGGAGGCCATGGAAACCCTCACCAACAAGGCATCTGGGGTGCCAAGGGGCCAACTCTCTTGAGAAGCAGTCAGTCGAAAGCAAACGTCCACAGTGATGAACTGGTCAAACTGCCACAAACAGGGAAGCTGGTCTAAACTATTCACTTCCTTTTGCTCAAAACACTAGGAGGGTTTTTAAAGAGAAAACACACACACACACACACACACACACACACACACACATTGTGTGCAGTGAGAGACTGGCCTGTCATTTTAAATCATTCACCAGTTTACCATAACCTTATGACAAGGGAGTCTTGCCTTTGGTGTGTCACATACGTATACGTCTCTTGTCAGCCTGCAGGTTCAAAACAGAATACAGCAATACCTCACTGGGTACGGGGGTTCTGCAAATTCTTCCCAGTTTGAATTGACATTTTTAACCTTCAAGCTGACAAACTGAAGAAAGAAGCAGGGGAACACTGAAAAATATGTCTTATACTTTTGAACTAAGTTGTAAACCAGCTTCATCTGTCATAATATAACTGCACATGATGGAAAAGGCCACTGAGGAGATGGTAGAAAATGGCAGAAATCCACCTCTGAATGGAGAGAAGTTGGAAGAACCAAAGTGAACCTAAGTAAACGGGTGTTTCACACCAACTCAGTCCTTTCTGAATGTAGAGAAGAACAGGCAATGCCAGACCTATTTCCATGTACCCAGTGCCCCTCAACATGTAGCATGGAAGACCCAATGACAGTTGCCCCAAATGCCCTACTGTATTTATTAATTATTCTATGATGTTTCTGACATGAACAAAGAAGAGATCACACCAATATGAGCACAGAGACTATGGTGCTTCTGACATGAACAAAGAAGAGATCATACCAATATGAGCACAGAGATACGTACTTCATCGTTGCTCCCTATGGATTGGCAACCTGGCAGATTGTCAACAGCTTCCTTAATTACGTTATGTAGTCATGAAACATGAAGTACCAGAAGCCATTATAACCTTCTCTTTTCCTTTTGTATGCAACCATGTTACTATGAGTTTAACTGCTTAATTACAGATGTTCTCCCTTTGCTGGTGCACCTGCATCGTGGCTGTGTGTGTGTGTGTGTGTGTGTGTGTGTGTGTGTGTGTGTGTGTGTGTGTGTGTCTTTGCAGGGTGTTGACTGGGTGTGCACATGTCTGTCTGAGGTTGGCCAGATGCTTGGTGGAAGGCTGGAGCCACGGGCACATTACAGGCAAGGGCTAGATAGCTGTTGGGATAGGCTGGCGTAATGGTAGAGGTTGGAAAATCCTCCATGGTGTCTAGAGCACTGGTTCTTAACCTTGGGTTACTCAGGAGTTTTGGACTGCAACTCCCAGAAACCTTCACCACCAACTGTGCTGGCTGGGGTTTCTGGGAGTTGCAGTTCAAAAACATCCGAGTAACAAAGGTTAAGAACCACTGGTCTAGAGGATTCTGGGAGTTATAGTCCAAAGCCTCACATCAACTCTCATTACACTTGTACAACACTTGCACATAGTTGTGTAAGCAACTATGCTTGCATGGAACCTGCACAAGACTGGTAGCCAATGTCTCATTGAGCAAGCAATACTGCTGCTCAACAGAGGCCTGTGAGTGAACAAGTATCAGTTCAACAGCACGGTCCAGCAGAACTATGCCACCAAGAATCTTCACTCCACCAACTTTCAGCCCAGGGAAGGGACTTTCCCCAAACCCTGCATGCTATTTTCACAGCCACTGGACATGGGCTGCTTGAAGCAGTGGATCCTTCTGCCATGGCCAAGAGAGCCCTTAGGCTATTGGGGCACTTTCACAGAGGGAACTGGGATGGGTCCTTCTTACATCCATGCTCTGAACTCAGAACTGAAGCTCCAGTGTCTTCATTTGCTGCATGTAGGTCAACGATAAAGCCTCAAGTTAGATTGTCTTTTTGTGTTTTACTCTCAAAGATGTAACTACTTTGACAGGTGTCACAACCATTTAGAGATTTTTTTAGAGAAGTTCAAAAACCCAAAATACAAAAAACAAAACAAAAACAAAGAAAGCATCCATAAATCCAAAGTGTAAAAATACACTTGGAGAGATACCCAATTCCTCACAACCACATCCTTATAGTAAAAACATAAAAAAAATATACTGAGAGAATAATTATTAGGAAAAAAAGGAAAAACTACATACACTGAAAATGTATACCAAACTATTTCTTTCTGGTGCATGCGATTCAGTGTAAATAGAAAAACACATGGAAGTTAGGTGTAGAGTGCATGATTTATGTGCTAGGCCCCCCAAATTTAATTATTGGTGTTTCTAGTAAAAAGGGTCCGGATGCAGATGATGGGGAGAAGGATTTCTCTCTGCTTAATGCCCTTGAGAGTCACAGTTAGTCAGACTAGCTTGCATGGCAAACACCTACCTAAAAAAAAAGATATTTGATTGCTAGAGAAGGGCAACACAGAGGGGGAATCTGGTCTCCCTTAACAAGGGAGCTCTAAAGTTTGGAAGTGGCCGTGGAAGAGAGCCCTCCCTCCAAGACCAGTGGGGCCAAGAGAAAGCCCTCCCACCAGGGACAGAGGATTCTGGGCACCTTACAGCTGGGTTTTGCATGCTTTTTGAAATCTAGGGGAATGTAGCAAATCTCCAGGATGAGAGGGCTACACAGAGGCACTCAAGAGTCCTCCATACTCCATGTGCCCAGTGCCCCAGCAGCCACCGTGTTTCCAAGTTAGGGATAGCTGCTCCATAGGACTGGACAGATTTAGCGCTGGATATTTTCCATAAAGTGAAATGTCAACTTCTTGTTGAAGAAAATGGGGCAGGTGTTGGGTGGTGGAAAGTATTCTGTAATGCTTTGTGCTGCCAGGTTGCCTAAACTGGCCTGAAGCTGCTTAACCAGAGCCTCAGATAATTACTTTTTTTTGGTGGGATGATGATTCCCAGGATGCCACAGCCAGCGTGGGACTTTGGGAGAAACAGTCCAATCCAGCCACTTTTCAAAGAATGGTTCTTAACCACTTGAAAGCCACACTGAACGGGTATTGAATTTTCCTCATTTTCAGGCAACATCAGGACTTTAATGGACTCCCCACATCTCCTCCCTCCCCATTCTGTCCTTACTCTCCTGTCAGCCACTGTCTTTCCTGACCTCTTAAGATACACAGTACTTCATTTAAAGAAGAAGAAGAAGAAGAAGAAGAAGAAGAAGAAGAAGAAGAAGAAGAAGAAGAAGAAGAAGAAGAAGAAGAAGAAGAAGAAAAGGTACAGATTCTCACTTCAGGTGGACCCTTCTACCTATCCAGTCTTTCTCCTCCCATTCTGACTTTCAAAATGTCCATTCCCAAAGCTGCCAAGAGGCAGCTGTAACATCATTAAGTAACCAACCCCATCACCACCCATTTTTAAAATAAAGCATACTTACTGCTAGAAGAGGACACACCGCTGTATTCCGACCTGCAGTTAAAAAAAAAAAAACATTTAGCAGGGTTGCTCTTGACAAGAGACTGAGGAATAATGTGGATCAGGTTACGTTGTTATGGTTACAGAGCCAAAGCAGTGCTCAGGACCCTGGGTTCAAATCCACACTCAGCCATGAAATGTACATGGTGATTGTGGGCCTAAACCTACCTCAGATCATTTGTGCAAGAATAAAATAGGACGGGAACACTATGTGTAACATTTGAGTGTCCCTTTGCAGGTCAAGGGAGGTAAACGTGTAACAAACAAATAAAAGAAGAATAAACTATCATTGGATGAGCTGGGTGGTGATCATCAGCTATGCTGGGTGGTGATGATCAATCAATGGCACAGCATTAACTAATCTGAAGCAATGTCTTTGATCTTCTTCAAAGAAATTGGATGGCAACCACTATTCTGAACTGCCTGCATAAGAGGAACCTGAATTAGAAAATCACAATCAGATTGTCTGCAGAGGACTAAAATCTGCAGAACAGAGTCTGCCTATATATGTTAATCCTCATTTCTCCCCCTGAAGATACAGGACTCCCACATACACATGTTTTAAATGACTACTACACGTAGAACTAGTAACCTCTTTTGGTTCATAATGTCATCAGGTTCTGGATTCAAAATGAGAAATGTCAGCCATTTTACAAATGTACAGCCTTAGTCACTGGAGTCTATACTGTGCACATGTATAACCAGCAGAAGACGCCGTACGTTCTGGTGCACAGACACACATTAGTACATACAGTACGTACATACAGATATTCAGGCAGACTGCCTCCACACAACTGCGGGTCATAGAATAATGGCATTGGAAGGGACCTATAAAGGCATCGGGTCCAACCCCCTGCTCAAGGCAGGAATCCAAATCAAAGCAAATGGAACTGATGGTCGCCCATTCTTCTCTTGAAAGCCTCCTGCATTGGAGCCCTCACCACCTCCGAAGGTAAGGGTTGGTCACATGTGGGCTGGGAAAGATACACTGAGGCCTGAGCATGTGACACACTAGGTTCCGTAAAACATTCTACGTTCAAAGGAGAAGATGTACCAGAGATACCAAGATGGAATTTAAAAGAACTCTTAAGACTTCAAGGTATTCCAAGGACGTTGTATTTCAGTGTTGGATGCGTGTAGTTGGATTTTCACGTTTCACGCACAAAAAGAACTGCACTGGCTGCGGCGATTCTGCAGAGATACCAAGATGGAATTTAAAAGAACCTTCAAGGTATTCCGAGGACATTGTATTTCAGTGTTGGATGCATGTAGCTGGATTTTCACGTTTCATGCACAAAAAGAACTGCACTGACTGTGGCGATTCTACTATTTTGCTATGTTGCCCACCCCTCAGAAAGGGATCTGGCAAATTCCTGTTCACTGAACATTTCCTAAGAGATGGAAACCTTTCCTTGCCTCCAGTGATCAGGGCAAGTCCTCAGTACTACGTAAAACTAATCTAGTGATCGGAGGGTTCCAAAATTTGTACTGAGGTTATAAGGACAGTCAAAGAGTGGGCAAGCTTACGTTTATTTAAAATATTCTCACCTCACTGTTCTCCTTAAAAGCACGCAAGGCGGCTAAGGTCCCACACAAACGGTAGGTGCAAAGTGAAAGCAATATTTACACCTGTGATCCTCTACTCACTTACCTGGGAGAAGTCCCACCGAATTCACCAGGACTTCCTATCCACCACACATGGAAAGGATCATGTTTTTAGTATATCATTATGATCTGGAGGAAGACTGGGCAATTCTCTGCTCTTTAGGATATTTCTCTCCTCAGACCTTTCTTTGTGAAACTTTTTTTTCTTGAACAGACAAGAGAATTTTGCCTCAAAGCAGTTTGGCACACTTTATTACAGTAATCGGTACACAAACGTTTTCTTCCTTAAACAGTCTGCATAAGAATATTAGCAATAAAGTTTGTTCTACAAGCATTCGTGTTTTAAGTCCAACAGTAGATGGGCAGAAAAGTTCTTCCACTCACTAAAATCACCAGGGCCTCTTCCCCACAGCTTGAACTTACACTACTGTTCTGTGCCATCCTCTGCTACATTTTGGTAGTTTCTCTCCTCCTCCACTCGCCAAAAGGTGCAGGGCTTTAGTGGGGATTCATCTGGGGGGGAAAAGCTAACCCCGTTTGCATGAATGGAAAATGTTTCCTGCAAATGCACTTCCAGACGCAAAGCAGTGTGTCTGGAAAACAATCTCTTTTTAAATATAATCCAACTGTGCATAAAAATGCAACAGCTTTGTTAGTTTTGGGAACCGAAAAAGCACCTATCTTATTATATTTATAGATGCATTTGACGAATTGGGCCCGAGGCCCAGAAAGCAATCAGAACCTGTTAGTCTTAAGGGAGTCACAAGATGCCCATTGCCGTTTCTAGAGTTGCAGAGAAACCGCGCAAGAAATGCCCAGCTTTAAAAAACAACAACAGGATATAACATTTTTCTTTTCAAGTTCCCTTATTTGTTTTCTTGCCTCGCGATTTCCCCCACGAATGCGCGCAACTTTCCGATGCCTTAGAGAGAAGCCACTTTGCGGCTCAGGTGCAGCTCCTCGTCCGCTGCCCTGACTTTTGGGGACCCGCACGGGAACCTGCAAATGCGCGCGAGCGGAGCCCCCGCACACCGCCTTCGCGGGGATTGGGGGAGACGCGGGGGCAAGCTGTTTAAGGAGAGAAGTGCTGGGAGAAAGGAGGCGGCGGAGGGAGGGAGGGGGGATCTCTTTAGCAACCCCCCTCCCCATCCCAATCGGAAGCGTGTGGACGCCCAGGTTTCCCCGCCCAGGGGAGAAAAAGCGAAGTCCCCGAAGCGCCGGCCGGCAGAATCAGGGGCTGGCGGGGCGGGGGGGGAGAGGGGAGAAGCCTTCCCCAGAGAGATCGGGCGCACTCCGCCTGCCCTCTGCGCGGCGATCCCCCAGCAGATCGAGCCTGGGGCCGGGAAGAAGCGACTCACCCGCCGGTCTCGGCTCCCGAATCGGCGCCCTGGTCTTGGCCGCGGCCGCTCCGCTTCCGATGCATGGCGCGGCTTCGTGCGGGGCGCTCTCGGGAGGGTGACTGGAGCGAGCCCGCGAGAGGGGCGGGACTGGGATGGGCTTTGCCTCGCCTTGCCTTGCCCTGCCCTGCCCTCAGAGCGAGCCCGCGAGAGGGGCGGGACTGGGCTGGGCTTTGCCTTGCCTTGCCTTGCCTTGCCTTGCCCTGCCCTGCCCTGCCCTCGGCCCGGGCGCGAAGTCCTGCCTTCCGAGGGAAGCTTTGCTTGAGCGCCCTTAAGCCACCCGATCCAGAACTCCCGCGCCGGTGGGCTGTTGGCTTCAGGCGGCTCTGTTTCCCCCGAGGCTGCCCTTCTGCGTCCCCAGCACCGAGTGAAGTCCTGCCCCCCCGCTGCCGGTGGGCTGTTGGCTTCAGGCGGCTCTTTTCCCCCCCGAGGCTGCCTTTCTGCGTCCCCAGCACCGACTGAAGTCCGGCCCCCCCCCACGCTTGTAGCGCTGAAGTGGGAAACAGGCCCCCCCGGGGTGTGTGTGTCCAGGACAGGGACCTCTGCTAGGCTGGCATGCGGGGTGTGTGTGTGTGTGCAGAGAGCTGTCTTGTCTTTTGCTTCCCCAGAGGTTTGGATCGGGACCAGGGTTCCTGGGCGCCCTACATGGGTGCTAATTGGCTTACGTCTTGCCAGGATGTTCACGGCATCAGCAAGCGATGGGAAAACGGGGCCGCGTCGCTGGCCGTAGTTTCTGCCTTCCAATTTCCTTCTGAGCTACTTCTCTGAAGTCCTGCCCTGCATTCGGGGAAGGGGGGGGCAGGATCCATTTGCTGGCCATTCTGGAGGATGCACCTGGCAGCTGATGGAAGTCCACAAAAGCTCCCGCAGTAATAAGTGTGTGTTTCTCTTTAAGCGTGGAGGGCATCCTTGGCCCAAATCCAGTTGTTGTTGGTCCCAACTGGAGTAGACCTACTGAAACCAAGAAGGACTTGGCACACCAACACTTCCATTGATTCTGTGGGTGGATTGTAGTTGGGACCCAGGGTGGCCTAGAGTGACAGATTACCTCCAGGATAAGATCTTGAATCACCTGGGGCTTATTGGATACAGACCTGGCATTCAACAGGACCAGGGTTAGAGTGGAAGGCTGGCTGAACTGGCTGCCTCGATACTGGGGGTTGGTCACAGCCTCAGAACAGCGAACAGCCTTCAGGCATCTGGGACTCTCTGGGGACCAGGGTTCAAATCCCCACTCAGGTATGAAAACTCACTGGGGCAACCCACTACTTACAGTAAATATCTCACTTATCTTTAAAGCCCTATTGAAGTTGCAATATGTCAGTTCGAACTTGACAGTACCTAACTAACTAACTGTGTTTGGGACTAAGAGTTGGTTCAGGTATTTGTTTTGCTGTTGCAGACGAATATAGACTCGCGTTTGGAAATTATCCATAGAGGTGTGTCGCTGCTTGCCGATGAGAAAAATCTCGGTGTTTCCTGCTGAGCCCCTTGCCCTTGATCTGATATTCTGTTTCTTATTTTCTTGCACCAGGAGGAATAAAAGCAAGATGTTGGACATGGCATTTGGCTTTTTAAAAAACGACTGCAATCCTGGGCCCTCCACAACCTTGCAATGTTACTGTGTCCTACAGGGCCTTGACACTGACGCAGAAAAAGGGAAGCTGCTTTTGGGGTGGGGGAGGGAACCCTGTCACGGCACTGCTACAGGGATTATAGGGGAGGAACAACATTGGAAACATCAAACATTCCCATTTAATAACTGAATTTCCTGAGTGCTCTTAATAATATTTTTAATGGTTTATTCAATTTTAGGTTTTTTTAAAAAAAATACTGTAGTTACATATATGGTCTAATTATTGTACGTTGCATTATTTTAATAGTCTTTTTGTTATGTGAGGAGGAACCACTTCCCAACAGAAAAGAGGAGTGGGAGTCATCCCCTCCAGCACCCACAACAGAGGGATATGAGAGGGTAGATACACTGAGACCAGCAGTGGCCCAACTGAGAGTAGAGGAGAAAAAAAGAGCAGGAAAGAAGAGTGAGAGGTGGAGGGCGTAAAGGGGAGGAGCCAATAGTGGAGGGATATCTGGTGACGGGCAGAGGAGAAGAAGAAAGGGGAAAGAGAGCTAGGCTGGGAGACTGAGGTAGAAAAGGAGGAGAAAAAGAAAGGAACGGAGGTGAAGGAAGAAGACATTCCTCTAGGATGGGGTGGTTAGAAATGGAAGACCCCTGCACAGGAGAGCGTGTTAAGATGAAACTGCCCATTGAAGAAATAGAAAGGAAACAGCAATATCACAGTGCGAGACCTGAGGGGAGTAAAACAGGAAAAGAGGGAGAAGAGCTGAAAAAGCAAAGAAAGGAAGGACTGGTAGTGCAGCTGGGAGAAGCAGAACCAGTGGAAGGGAGGGTGGAGGGTAGATGTCTATCCCAAGAAGGAAGATCAATGGAAGAAGGGGGCCAAACTGGTGGTGATGTTGCATCCATAGATGCCCACAGAGGGAGAGTGGTCTCGGCACCCCTGTTACCAGTCTGAGGAAGCCCATGAGAAAGCCCACAGATCACAAATGGTTTGGCGTGAAACTCCCCCCCTCCCCCATGATGAACTGTCTTGTGACGCCCGAGTTAAGGGACTGTTCTGTTGAATGCAGGGAAACTGAGGGACCTGTTGGTACAACTGAAGTTGTTGTTCATGGTTCTCCAGTGTTTAAAAATAAAAGAAACATTTATGAAGAAGGCCTGTCTCCACTTCTGGGGGAACAAGAAAAGGAATGGGGTCTTCCCAAAGTTGAACCCACTCACATGTTATTGTGTATTGAGGGTTTGTAAGTTTTAACCTGGTGTAAACCACACAGGATAGTGTTTGGAATGGTTATAATATGAATGAATGAACTAATTGGTTTGGGGCAGGGTGCAAACAACGATGACCTATGTGTGCTATGCAGCAGCCTCAGTTTGGCGGTCATGGTCGACTTTAAACCCTGAGGCCAGAATCTCATGGAAAACGTGTTTAAATGAAATCTCTTAAGTTGCAGTGGCAAATTGTTACTAATTAATGAGGTGCCAGTTGCCTGATTCTAAAGTATGCAGTCCAGGCACCTCCCAAGTTGTCTTTGGGCTTGGGCCACCAAAGGAAGAAAGCATCATGCCTCTACTGCCCGGTTGCCTCCTGTCCCTGAATCAGGTTCTCGAAAAATTCTAGCATGTAAAGTTACTCAACTCAACTCCCATCCCCACTCCCACTCCAGTGCTCCTACGTATTGGCATCACCACCCCAGTGAGTAAAAGAAGAAGAAACAACAGTGGGAAGGGAGGAGGAAAACCTACTAGATTGTGGGTAGTGAAAAGAGTCTGGCTTCCCTCGGCCTCCTATGGCAATAAGGCCAGCAGGCAGCGGCTGATATAGGCATATCTTGGTTTACAAAATTAATGCATTCTACAGGACATTACATAAAGCGAAAAATTTGTAAACCGGAATGCAGATTGTCATAGGAACGGGGGTGGCACTATAAACCTCCAGGCACAATGCATCCTGGGGAATCTTCCTTTGTAAACTGAAACAAATAGAATGCAAACCGAGGCATTATTTTCAATGGGTTTCTGTTTGTAAACCGAAAATTATGTTAATTGAGGCATTTGTGAACCAAGGTACTACAGTATCTGCACCACTAGACCACAAGTTAAAAAGACGAATAAAGGCATGGGAAACAGGTATAAGTATGTGTCTTCTCCACCCAAAACCCATACAGTGTTCACCCTTTTCTAGGAATGCACAAACACTCAGTCATAACATGTAATACCATATTTTTCCGTTTATAAGACACCCCAATGTATAAAACGACCCCCCATTTCTAACCCCAAATTAGAAAAAGCAGGGATCAAAGGGATCCCTTTTTGCTAAGCCCCGTGCCTTCGTAAAAAGCAAGGAAAACGGCTGTCAAAGTGACTGGCGCTTTTCCTTGCCTTTTGAGAAGGCACAGAGCTGAGCAAAAAGGAAGGGATAAACCCCTCCCCTTCCTTTTTGCTAAGCCTTTGCAAAAGGCAGCGGTAAACAGCTGCCTTCCATGTATAAAATGACCCTCAATTTTTTTCTCAAATTATTTAAGGAAAAAGTGTCATTTTATACATGGAAAAATACAGTAACAATTCCATAAAGTTTAGTAAACTAGGCAGAGTAAGAGAAAAATAAGGCAGAAGGCAGAATGGTTCTGTAAACAGCAGTGCAAGTCTTTCTCCTCCCCGTATAACTCCACAGATGAGGATGATGGAGTAGCTGTAAAGTGGTATATTCACAGATTGCACTGGTGACTCGTTCTTAGCCCTCTCTCAATGGTTCAAGTGTCCTGGAAGGTCCTGTACAATCATTACTGGGGGAATTCAGTTGTCACTCCCCTTCTCTTTTGGTACCAGCAGCAAGTTCTACTGTATTGTTTTTTATTTCCCCTTATCTCAGTTCACACCACTGAACATCTTTTTAGCCCTACAGATGCCAAAATGGATATGAAGGATCTGTTGTAGTATGAGGCTCTTTGCTCTGCCATGTAGTTGCCATGGAATAGCACATACCCCCCCCCATATTTGGCCCATTTTTCCACCTTTCTCTGAAGGCAGTGTCCATCGCTGGTTATCCAATGACATGCAGTGAGTTTCATGAGTCAAGAGAGACTCCAACCTGGCTCTTGCTAGGCATGGGGTCTACATACAATTCACTATTTCTCTTGCAATAAGTTGAGTGGGATGTCTGGGTGATGGCAAAATAAAAATGCCTTTGATGGGAGAATTATGGGAGAATTTTCTCAGTTATGGGGAAAGGAACCCCGGGAGCTGTGCTTTTTCCAAGAATCTTCTAGGCCCCATTTGCATATCTCTGCATTTTTAGTGAGCAACTCCAAAGGTTTTTATTTGCAAGTTTTCTGAGATGTAAATGTCTTGGGGGGGGGGAGTTTGGGAGTGCATATTTTACTAGCTATGGGGGTGGAATGGATACAACCCTTTATTTGGAGGCTGGAAAGAATATCCTAGAATAAAACACTGAGGCAGAAATT